ATCGCTCTTAGTAGATATTCACAAATCGTGACTTGTAGAATATTTACAGTAATTCATTGTTCACTGCTAATATGGGAAACAATGACCATTCCAACCTGTACATAAAGGTTTTGTGTGAAACCAGTGTTTCCTAGAATCTCCAGAGTACAACACAATCCGTTTCCTGTTTCGGCATCTGATGAAAAATCATTATTGTAATCCCGATCCAAACACTCCGGAACAAGATGTAAAGCGATTCGAATCAAACATATCATTTGACAAAAACAATTCTCAGAATTTTGAACACTTAAATGGTTAGGTATCAAATTTCAGGAACTGGATGCCACAACCAGATGAGGACAGCACCCTGTACCCAGCGACCTGATGTACTAAACGTACTGCATCAGAATTAATCTATTTCATGTTATATTCATGGGTATTCAACTTGTCTATTTTTATTCTCAGAGCCTCTTGTTGTTGTATTTCCGTTAGATTATCATGCATTTGAATCAATCACTTGAGTGTTTAGTGTCACATGTTTCCAGAGGCTTGCATTTCAGCAGAATGATCAATTTCATTAGTTTTTAAAGATCTGGAAAGGAATTTGTATTCCGTAGAGCTGAACGGTGTTATGTTCATATTAAAGAGGAATCGAGATGTTGATTTTGACACCAGATGATGTAGCATTGCTACACACGCTTTGAAGTGGCGACTGGTTTGGGTTTCTGTAGACACTGGTCAGTAATGATCTACACACACTTTGAAGTGGCGACTGGTTCGGGTTTCTGTAGACACAGGTCAGTTATGATCTACACACGCTTTGAAGTGGCAATGGGTTTAGGATTCTGTAGACACAGGTCAGTAATAATCTACACACGCTATGAAGTGGCGACAGGTTTGGGTTTCTGTAGACACAGGTCAGTAATGATCTACACACGCTTTGAAGTGGCGACGGGTTTGGGTTTCTGTAGACACAGGTCAGTAATGATCTACACACGCTATGAAGTGGCGACAGGTTTGGGTTTCTGTAGACACAGGTTAGTAATGATCTACACACGCTTTGAAGTGGCGACTGGTTTGGGTTTCTGTAGACACAGGTCAGTAATGATCTACACACGCTTTGAAGTGGCGACTGGTTTGGGTTTCTGTAGACACAGGTCAGTAATGATCTACACACGCTTTGAAGTGGCGACTGGTTTGGGTTTCTGTAGACACAGGTTAGTAATGATCTACACACGCTTTGAAGTGGCGACTGGTTTGGGTTTCTGTAGACACAGGTCAGTAATGATCTACACACGCTTTGAAGTGGCGACTGGTTTGGGTTTCTGTAGACACAGGTCAGTAATGATCTACACACGCTTTGAAGTGGCGACTCATTTGGGTTTCTGTAGACACAGGTTAGTAATGATCTACACACGCTTTGAAGTGGCGACTGGTTTGGGTTTCTGTAGACACAGGTCAGTAATGATCTACACACGCTTTGAAGTGGCGACTCATTTGGGTTTCTGTAGACACAGGTTAGTAATGATCTACATACGCTTTGAAGTGGCGACTGGTTTGGGTTTCTGTAGACACAGGTCAGTAATGATCTACACACGCTATGAAGTGGCGACAGGTTTGGGTTTCTGTAGACACAGGTTAGTAATGATCTACACACGCTTTGAAGTGGCGACTGGTTTGGGTTTCTGTAGACACAGGTCAGTAATGATCTACACACGCTTTGAAGTGGCGACTCATTTGGGTTTCTGTAGACACAGGTTAGTAATGATCTACATACGCTTTGAAGTGGCGACTGGTTTGGGTTTCTGTAGACACAGGTCAGTAATGATCTACACTCGCTTTGAAGTGGCGACTGGTTTGGGTTTCTGTAGACACAGGTTAGTAATGATCTACACACGCTTTGAAGTGGCGACTGGTTTGGGTTTCTGTAGACACAGGTCAGTAATGATCTACACACGCTTTGAAGTGGCGACTGGTTTGGGTTTCTGTAGACACAGGTCAGTAATGATCTACACACGCTTTGAAGTGGCGACTGGTTTGGGTTTCTGTAGACACAGGTCAGTAATGATCTACACACGCTTTGAAGTGGCGACTGGTTTGGGTTTCTGTAGACACAGGTCAGTAATGATCTACACACGCTTTGAAGTGGCGACTGGTTTGGGTTTCTGTAGACACAGGTCAGTAATGATCTACACACGCTTTGAAGTGGCGACTGGTTTGGGTTTCTGTAGACACAGGTCAGTAATGATCTACACACGCTATGAAGTGGCGACTGGTTTGGGTTTCTGTAGACACAGGTCAGTAATGATCTACACACGCTTTGAAGTGGCGACAGGTTTGGGTTTCTGTAGACACAGGTCAGTAATGATCTACACACGCTTTGAAGTGGCGACTGGTTTGGGTTTCTGTAGACACAGGTCAGTAATGATCTACACACGCTTTGAAGTGGCGACAGGTTTGGGTTTCTGTAGACACAGGTCAGTAATGATCTACACACGCTTTGAAGTGGCGACTGGTTTGGGTTTCTGTAGACACAGGTCAGTAATGATCTACACACGCTTTGAAGTGGCGACAGGTTTGGGTTTCTGTAGACACAGGTCAGTAATGATCTACACACGCTTTGAAGTGGCGACTGGTTTGGGTTTCTGTAGACACAGGTCAGTAATGATCTACACACGCTTTGAAGTGGCGACTGGTTTGGGTTTCTGTAGACACAGGTCAGTAATGATCTACACACGCTTTGAAGTGGCGACTCATTTGGGTTTCTGTAGACACAGGTTAGTAATGATCTACATACGCTTTGAAGTGGCGACTGGTTTGGGTTTCTGTAGACACAGGTCAGTAATGATCTACACACGCTTTGAAGTGTCGACTGGTTTGGGTTTCTGTAGACACAGGTCAGTAATGATCTACACACGCTTTGAAGTGGCGACTGGTTTGGTAGCCGCCATCCTTTATTTGTCTTACTTCAAAGTGAAGAAGTCATAGCTTAAATATGGCCTCAAAATTTTATTGCAACTACAAGAAAATACTTGCATTCTTGGTTGAAGGTCAGTTAACTCCAAAAGTTTGCCAGCAGGAAGAACAGAATTACAGAACAATGTAAGAATGAGAAGGATAACAATGTTTTATAGGTATGCTGGAAAATAACTATAGGACAGATGTACTGATCAGATTTCAGCCATTGGAGTTTCACGTGGTGTACACGTTTGCTAAAGTGGTTTTGTGATGAACGATGCATACTTGCTAAGTCTCCAAATATTCATTAGAAACCTTTCATTATTTTTCAGTCTTATTTTTGACTTAAAAATAACAGATTTCTTTTCATGTTGGTTTTTATTCAGATTCAATGAATTCAAATTGTAGAACAATTTAAACCATGACATTTCATATTTTTACCATATATGCGTCATTTTAAGTATTTGAAAAAAAAAATTGACCCGCAGTTCCTTTCCCATGACAAATTTGAAAATTCGGCAAGAACACTATTCTTCCCTAATAGGTACCCTTGGTGCCTATAATAGCAATTTTCTATAGTCTGAAAAAATGTGCATCATAAAAACTTTTACATGTATTTTGTGTAAGTTTTGTAAATTATAGTGAAGGGATAGGACAACATAGGACCAGAAAAAGAGGTGGTAAAAAGTGTTAGTATTGTATGGTGTTGCTCAATGCTTTTCACCCATGTTACCATTGAGGTAGTTCCATTGGCCATTGTTTAGTCTATTTCCTGGCATCCCATTAACAACGTCTATTTATCACAGCATGCCCCTCCCCCTGGGAGCCACAGGTGGTTATCACACACTGCTGTATCTATATGTATATAATATCTCCAGGATTTATCATGTAGTCATATTCATCTCAGGGAAAGTATCTTGATAATTGTCTTCAACCAAAGTATTACTTGGAACATAACCATGTCTAGACCATGTATTTAAATATCATGTGGTAAAATTCTCAAATCTGCGCAGTTTCATTTTCTTAATTAATTTCTAAATTCCAAACTGGTACATAGTAGGTTATGTATTGTTGTTTATTTCTATAAAAATTGTGATACATGTAGATCCAACTTATAGGTCACCTCACTGACATGTCACATCCTGGACACAGAAGTGACACCTGGCTGGGATTTCCAAGGAAACACACCATTTTTCAAAAAAACCTGGTTAGGTCTAAAAGGTGAAGAAGTAGAAGGGGCCGTGATGAAGATGTTACTTGTTACTGTTCAGTTTACTGATAATGAGTCAGACCATTAATGCTATAGATCACACTGCTAATGACTTAGATGGTTATCCAAGATTTGGAGCTAGTTAAATAAACAGATGTCAGCACAGTGGATCTGGCTGTAACCACTAGTATATATACATAGCTGGATTTATGACTGGCCCCCTGCAGCCTCTCCCCTTCTGCCCCACCCTCCTGTTACCATGGGGCTCCCTAAGGGATCATCAAATGCAGTGTCTTTGCAGTGCATATTATGAAACTGACACCTGTTTTGAATAATCCTATGTACCAGATTTTCAAAGAGTAGGAGAGGTAATTGATCTATCAAAAATTTACATCTGTAAAATATTGGATAACCTTATATACCTTATATTCTTCGTGACTGTTTTTTCAGCTCTCTATACCAATTAAACAGTATGGCAATGTTATCTAAGATGCTGATTATATCCTAACTATTTGTTGGTTTAACTGAATAAGGATGTATATAAGTAAACACTGATTTTTTCACACACAAAAATACATAAGAAGACAATTAGCGGTGACATTAATTTGTCTTTAATTTACAATAACTCCATCTTAGTACCCAAATATGATCGGTTTCATATCAACATTGATGATTTGTTCTATAAGAATGGTTCTTTAGTCAGAATCTGACACTTTCTAGGAACTGTTTGTGAAGTTTTTGGAGTTCAGAGATATACACTTCCTGTACGTGTCCTTCTCACCTTTCAAGTAGTGCCCCGGCAGTCCATCATGGCAGAAGCTGATTACTGAGTCACTGGTGATGAAACTTGGGGTACACCAGAGCTGTAGGCACCTAACAGAGCATGCATGCTTACACAGTGTGTTTAGTTCATAAGGCAACCAATATCTTTAGCTTTGATTCTGAGAATACCATGAAGGATTTTGTGTCAGGATAAAGAGATTATATAAATGGTTCAGCTCTCCTTGATCTGGATCCTGTGGAAACAAAAATGATGTGGGTTTACTTAGACCGGAGGTAATAGTTTTCTGGCTGCTGATCTATAAACACCCTTCCAGTGTAGAGTATGGATTATATGCCCAATGGATTTCACTGTCATCCTTAACTTTTTGTGTAAAGTTGTAGAGCTGTGTTGTAGACACATGTGGTCTGTAAGTACTGCTAGTTGACTACTGACAGTGTTAAATTGATACATTGGACCAGGGATGCTGGACTCTTGTTACAACACATACACTGCTCCAGATGCTGAACAGGTAATAGAATATGAGGGCTACTCAGTGCTTTACCATTTGCTAAAGTTTTGACATGTATTTATAATATGTGAGGGAAACATCCTCTCTGTTAATGGTATATTAATTTGACTTTAGGTTGTGTTTTTCGCCATATCATTGTCTTAAGGTCTCTAAACTGTAAGCTTGACAGTTTCCTATGTCTGTATGTAAATCAGGGAATGGTTTGGTATGTACGTGCACTAACAGTAAGTGTCTACAGTCACGGTGGTACTTGTATGTACACCACTCAATACATATCAATATGAAACCTGGTGTCGGGCTACACACTTGACCGATGTAATGAATTTAAGTTCAGTTTACAAACTTCTTTCAATGAATAATTTGTGAAGATGAATAACATAGTTGGGGTCGAGTGTAACATATAGTTGTTTAATACTGTTTGTTTATGAACTACTAGAATGTGTTATGATGCTTTGTAAGATAAATCTATTGTGTGATAAACTTTGAACTGTGTACAAACTATTTTACAGTACACAATCTATAAACCGGACTCTATCTGTTCAATCCATTTTTTTTTGTCAGAAACCAGATTTGGTAGTGACAAGGATGGCTCTCTACAATCTGGAAAACTCCACAAAATGACCAAATTTGATGGTCTAGGGTTGGGGGTGGGATGTGTGTCCATTTTAGAAAGTACACTGTATGCTAAAACAACCTGTTTATTTAAGCAAGAAAGATGTCCATTCAATGTAAAGTTATAGCTGCTATGGTGTTTTGATAAGTTTATTTTAATAAGTTTGCAACAGAAAACTTTCAAGCGTTATTAACTTTCAAGTTTTAAGCTTTGGTCTATGGAGTTTCAGAGAGGGGTGCTTCATTTATTCCTATAATAGACATACATAGGAATTCGAATATCTCAACAAAATACAAGATATACTGATGTATAAGCATCAAATACCCATGTGTGAGCTGCACTGCATCAACACTTTGTATACATGCTCTAGCTGGGTTGTAATGCTGTGCAGTCCCACAAGGTCAGTCTCCACCAGGCAGACTGGAGCAGTGGTGCTGCAGTGTCTGTGTAACACTTCATCACCTCCTCACAGTATCTCTGGGGGGTCATTTATTTGATGAGAAGGGTGGAGGGGGCTGCATTTATCAATATCTGATGTTGGGAGATATGTCTTAAGATATGAGGCAATATCTATAACCTGGAAATCTTTCTCTGTGAGCTCTAGTGTATTGTGTCTATGGGAACACCATGTCATATACTATGGGTTACAATTGATGACTCAGAATTATGATACCAAGGGGACACAACTACTGGAGACCATGCTGATACAAATGATTCTTATAATGAGCAGGGAGGGCAATAACAATAACCATTATTTCCTGAAGTAGTTAAAATAGTATATGGCTTCTGGTTTGTGGAGAAAACATATTTAAATATTGATGTAATTCCTGCTGTTGACTAATGAATGGGAGATAACCCATAGGTTTCCTATAGTGCCTTTTATTACATATGTACACATAGAGTGTAAATTGTGTACATGTATAGGTATTATGTATGAATAGTTATTAATGTTACCTGGACATCATTATAAACATGCTTCTGCATTAAAACAATTTTTTAAATAAAAGTAACACTTTTGACTCCAGCCTCAGCAGTTTCAAATGCAGTTTATAACCAACTTCAATATTTCAATACATAGCTCTTCACAGATAACTGATAATGTTTAGTCAGTTAAATGGACTTTTAAAGAAGTAAAAGAAAACAGAAAGGATGTTCTTTTGAAGATAAAAAAGGAAAGAAAGAAGCATTACAATGACATACATTGTATAAGAAAGATACAGGCCCCATATACCTATTGTACACTAGGACAAGTATATAATGAGTTACAATGACACGAAGGCTGAAGGAAGCAGGTATATGATTATCACAGGAAACACTCACAAAGCAAGGTCATACACATTGTCTATTCAATCAGATAATGGGGGTCTACAATGTTATACTGCGGACATCTATAGCATTCAGAAATCAACATAATTTTAACTCATGAAATGTATTTCATATAAAAACAATGAAATATATATTTTGATAACTACAGTGTGTAAAATGGTAAAAAACATGTAATCTAAAAACAACCCTGGGAAGCTCTAATGTTGACCCCCTTTAATCGTATCCTTTAATCTAGCGCCTTTTTCCATTGACAATGACATCAGTGTATGGAAGGTACTTTACACATTTATTTATTACAAGTGAGTTTCCGTTTCCATGAATAATACAAACAAATAGGCGGGAAAACTAATGTGTAAAAATAAACTTGTATGTCTCAGGCAGCCTAGCTGCTACCATAGCTGAAGATGGTCACTACTTATATGTGTGGCAGCCTAGCTACTACCATTGCTGAAGATGGTCACTATGGATTTAACACAGATAAGGAGAAGTTGAGGTAGTTACCATTTCTCTGGCACTTCCTATGAAACTGCACCATTTTTTTCAGATATAGTTGCAGAGTTGCTTCAGTTTTTGTAATGGTTTTATATGCCCATATGAATACTCTCTATAACACTTAATCAATGGTAATTAGATTTAGAAAGGTCTTGGAAAATGGTTTCCCAGTGTGAAGAGTTCATATGGATGAAGTAGTTATTGAATAGTGAACAAATTACATTGTTACACCTCAAATGAATTTCTAGCTATTTGATTAGTTGGGAGAAAATTAAACAAAAATCTCTGTCACCTTCCGGAAATACATTGGTTTTAAGGGGCGCGGGTGATATTGCCATGAGACAGTAAAAAATATCACATGCGCGAAAAATGTGCGTTCACCGCTTCGTTTCCCCACCGTGATGGTCACAAGAATGTTTGACGGCAACAGCCAATTACATTCATTAGCAGGGCGATAGCGATTCGTTGTAAACAGCAGACTATCAACAAACAAGATGTCATTAATGAGGTTTGCTACCGTTTCTGAGCTACAAAGACTTTTGGTGTAACAAAATAGATATGACATTCATTAGCAGGGGACAGTGAATATTGTCAACCCTTTGCCGAGGGGGACAATGGGTTTTTGAGGGTTGACAATATTCACTGTCACCTGCTAATGAATGTCATATTTATATATTGTACAACCTTCGTGTCAGTCTGTGTGCAGATCGAGTGATTTAAATAATTGAAAACAACATGTTATAAGTATAGGATAAGTAATGCATTATTAATGTATGTTCTGTATACGTACATGTCAACTTACAGAGCATAACGATGATTGGGATGGGATGTACGTTTCCTATGAAAGATAGATGTGCTTGTGTCTGTGGAAGGTTGGAAGTGTTGTACAAGCCAATCAGGCAGATATCTAAGTCAGGTGTGTGAGGTTACAGAAAACACTAGGTGTAAAATGTACAAGGCTAGATAGATAGACACTAGGTTTACAATGTTTCTCCATAGCTCTAAATCTGTGTGGAGTTGTCCAACAATGTGGAAGGTTTTATCCAGATGATACCGTATATTGAACATGTAAGTAGATTATTGACTCATTCACTCCTACATTTTAAAACTGGACTTACCCGGCCAGTCTTTGATAGGTACGGTTCAAATGTGACTTCAGGGGTGAATGGGTTAATTTTCTCTTTTTTCTCTTTTCATGTTTGTATGTGACTGAATTGTGAAATTTAGGATGTGTCATTATTGTCACCATACAGTAAATTATGTTAACTGACTGAAAATCGTTGAAAATCGTAATGTCTTATTGTACAAATTAAACCTTTTGCTTCAGCTTTCTACATAGCAATACCCAAGAGGATAGGGCACCTAGATACACAGTACATGTTGAAATACAATGAAAATAAATCAGCATTTGGTACAGCTATAAAAATAAGACATTAAAGATAGCTAGGAGAATAAATTGTATTGATCGATGCGACTGCTCATCTGTCCAGATTGATTTCTGCTCAATATCCTGATTCCCCTGAGCTTCCATGAGCTGTTTTTTAAGGTCTTGTAAGGCTGTATGTCAAAGTAACTACTATTATACTTTGATAATTAGTTTCCACTCAGGAATTTGATATCCCTCAATTTAATTAAACTTAATCTTCATACAGAGCCTAAAATGCCTGAATTAACTGCCTGCTTGGGTTGATTTTTAGGTCAAACAGTTAAAGGTCAAGGCTGTTTAATATAAAGACAAAACAATTACCTTGACTTAGACAAACTAAAACTTCCATGCATGCTACACCAAAGTGGTTGCTTGGGATTGCAAGGGAGGTCACTGTTAGCATAAATAAGCATCTTCAACAGTACATGTACATCCCCAAATTAAAACCTTCATACTTAAGGAGATCTTTGTTTGTTTTCAGATCAGAAATGTGTGAACTATCGGATTGTACCAGTTGTTCATGCCAGTATGTGATGTACTAGCTGGGCTTAAGGGAATGATTGTCAATAGTGGTCCGCCCGACCTTATGGTGTTTGTTGAGCCGAGATAATGTTGGTTGATGTGTTCTTTGGCATTCTCAAAGACAGAGCTGGAATGTATGTAGTAGAAAGAGTGCACTATAAAACAGTGATAAACCTCAACGTGGACCAGTAATTGATACACGAGTTATGGCAGTGGCTAATAAAACAGGATTTTCATGGCGATGCACTAACTTTACACAGCAGCAAATTGACCATTTGGTCTATGTTGTGTGGCATTGGTGAGCTGGACAACAGTAAATTGACCACTGGTCAACAATACAGAAGTGACCAGTGGTGTCGTTTGTTATCTGTTTTATAATCTGTATATGGGAATTTTAGAGCGACTACAGCTACACAGATTGAGTTAATCACTTAATGGCCTTCTATACAAATACATTTGTCTTAATGTTCCATATTATATACTGGCAACAAGAGTTCAAGGATTTCTGGCATTAGGAAACTTTACTATCATCGCCAATGTCTACACTTAGTAAATGTTGTAACTCTCACAGGGGATGTGTTATGTTTGGGAATCTACAGTTTGTCATCCTAGTGACTTTGC